GGAAAAACAGACAAAAATTTTGAAGATTTCAAGAAAACCTACAAACAAAAAAGAGAAACTTTTCGGAATACTCAAAGTTCAATTTGAGTTGAGAATTGTAGTAGGAGGACAGTTTTTTCATTTGGCGTTCATTTTTGCGATCTGAAAACTGATGATATTCAAACTTAGAGCAAAAAATTTCGCCTAGTTTGTCGAATATATGCCATGTGAACATACCAAAAACCTTCATCTCATGATATTTCTTTTCAGAAAGTTTTTAAATTGGTTATGTCACTTTTTCGTTTGATTTTTTTGAGAAAGCAAAAGGTGATCAAAGTTAATTGTCTGAGTTGTCAGATTAGATGTTTTGGTTTTTTTTAGTCAGTTAGAAGCAGCGTTACGCCGTCTCGACACGCTCAATAATCCTGGTAACCGTTTTCGCAGAGGTGAAAAGTACCCACTAGGTTTGAATAAAGCGCTGTATCTGCAAAATGATCTCAGCATCCAGATAGGCAAATTACAAATTTTCTCATACATTAGAGTATAAAATTGGGCTGAAAATTTAAAATCATTTGTTCTAGCTTCTTATAATGAGGCGAAAAATCTTTTGAAAAAAAAAACCTAAAATTTTTGCGCTCAGTTTGGCTGCCGAAAAACTTGCAAAGACGGGGTATTTTTTTCCATTTTTGGGCTGAATTGAAGGATTTGAACATTTTTCCACTTCGAGTTCTGTTGGCGCCAACCAACAAGGTTTCTTAATCAGAAAAGAAGGGTACATAATTTTGTGTTTCTTCTTTGCTAGCTTTGCTTTTTGTGCTCGACTAAACCAATTTTAGTACCCAATTACACACACAAAAAGTACTCTTAATACCCATTGAAATTTTTGATAAAAATTTCAGATCCATCAAAACAGTCCAAAAATAGCAAACATATCCGGTCTCAACAATGAGACTAATGAATAATACTAGCGTTTTATAAATGAATGAGTGTGCTAAAATTGATTCAACCGAGCACAAAGGGCAAAGCTAATAAAGAACAAACACAATATTACGCACCCTACAATACAGTACAATTATAGTTTTCCTGGTTAAGAAAATTTTTTTGCACCACTTTTGATATCACTAGATTTATTCAACAGGCAGACCACAGTTGAGGGGAAAAATCCAGACAATCGGATCAAAATCATTATCGGCACAATAATAACCAAGCGGTAAGAGAGACGGAAATACCTGGCAGAAACTCTTCATGCCGGTTTTTTCTTATATTCAAAACTAAGATAAACGATTTAAGTCCACCTTCCCCTCAGAACACAAGCACGATCTAATAAGCAGAACACAAGCACGCAGGCTAATAAACCGATATAAAACAATCCAAAATCTGTTCAATCAAAAAAAAACAAAGCCGACAAAGAAAAGCAAGCACTTAATAGGCTGAAAATTTCATTTAAAACAGAATATTATTTCCCATTGACAAAAAGATAGTTCCTGATCAGATACAAACTTGGGATCTTCACTGTGTCAGCCGTAGTCTTTACCTTTAGGCTCAGTCAGTGTACAGTATTACTTGAAAGATTGTTAAATAGATCCCCCGATTGCAATATCCTTGCCAATGCCATCTTTAAAAAATAATATGCGCTAAACTTCCAGTTTTCAAAAAAAGCAAACAAAAAATTACGCCATCGACTGATATGTTTTTCTCCGTGTGTTTTACAAGCTAATACATAAACAAGATTGCTTGTATCAGGGCGAAGCCCTGCAGGTTTCGACTGCCTTTTTTATGGCGCAGTAATAACATGAAAAAATTAAATGTAACAAAAGAAAATGAGAAAAATAATCATAAAAATGCGATTTTTTTGTCTTGTGAAAATCATCCTCCATCATCCTAGTAACAAATAAATTATGCAAAATAAGCTTCCTTCAACCAATTCGGAACAATTTCCAGGGCGAATTAAATCTCCGCTTACGCGTTAATAGCGCGAAATATATCGCGCGTTAATTGTCGCAAATTGTCCAAAATGGCAATTTTTAAACCCCCATAACTTTACGAAAATTAAGCACAGGTGAGATATCTTTTCAAGTTTAAGTTCAGAACAACAATACCTTTTCAATGATATAAAAAATTTCCGTCAAAATGGCTGGTTAAAAAGTCGAAATTTGTCTAAAGAAACCCCTCCCCCCTCGAGCACAAATATTCCGTTACTTTCGTTACGAAAGTCGAAACAACCGTTACTTTCGTTACGCAAGTCGAAACAAAAAGTCATAGCAAGTCGAACCAGAATTGGTGTTCATTTACACAAGTGATTCTAATCTAAACAAAGTTCCACACTAATAGAAACATAGATATCACATATCAGCAAGTAACGTTCGTGCTTTGTACAACTGGCTCCTTTTACCAACAAAGCGTTTCGGTTTAAATGGGCCCTTAAAATGCCAGAAGAACAAATAAAGCGAAAAATAAAAAGAAAAACAACAAAAATCACCAACAAACAAGCTTTTGTTTTTTTTCTGGCTGTTGTTTCCCTTAAAATGCCAGAAGAACAAATAAAGCGAAAAATAAAAAGAAAAACAACAAAAATCACCAACAAACAAGCTTTTGTTTTTTTTCTGGCTGTTGTTTCCCTGAGAAGATTATTTTTAAAAGGAGACCTGTTAAAAACTAAATCTGCCTGAAACGGTTGATTGATTTGACTAAGAACCATAAAGAACAATCAATTGTTTAATCTGTCGTCAATATGTCGACTGGTCATATAATTATACCGCAACTTTTGGTTAATTTTGGGTGCGTAATCTGGTCGAAACCTCAAGCATTGATCACGGATCATGATGGGCCTCAAATATCCGACTTCTCTTCGGACACAGTTACTTCCACTATTATTTCCTTATAAACAATTTGATTGTCTGGAAAGTGAGCCATGGCTGTGCTACTTTCTCTGAAATTTCCAAACCAATTTTTGTTTTCATGAGAATTGCTGTTCATATAATGAACGGGAAAAACTTGATTTAGGCAGATCAGAATTAAAACCGGCAAACAAAAAGTCAAAAATTTATTTAGTTAAGTACCCTCCGCTAACTATCTGAAATTTGCAGATAGTGTCCTCGAAAAGCAGAAATAACATTTCAAGCTAATTTTTATCAGATGTCTATAAGAATAAACAGAAGGCACGCAAGTAGCTCAGAATGTTCCGACCACAAAATTATTATCAAAAAATTTTAGTCAATTTTAGTCATAATCACTATTCACAACTGAAAATAATTTGACATGATGATATCATTCCACCCTGGGATGCCTAAAAGTTTATTTATTGTGAAGTATATTATGCAATAAATTTATTGCAATAATATAATATTCAAAAAATTTTTGAAATTCATTTATTTTTCAATTTTTCGGATCTACTTAACAATCTCTCCCCTTTCTTAACAGGGGTGGGGGTGGGGAGATTGTTAAAAAGATCCTATTTTTCATTCGATCAAAGTAAAATGATATATTTTTTCGGTTTGAAATAATTGTAACTATCAATGACAGTCAGCCGCGAAAAGCTAGAGTTTGTGGGGGTGTAGCGATTAGCATGTGCGCCTATTAGCATGCTCTAACTTGGTGTGTTTTTGACAAAAGACAAGTAAGCCTACAATTTTGAGTAATTATTTCGCAAATCACTTGATTTGTTAGAGGAGAGTCAAAGTGAATCAAGTTAACACCCTCCCCCAGACAGACCAACTAAATATCTTCCACCCCAGTATTTCATTCATATTGCTTTAGGGAGCGGGGGGCAGGTTTATTAGTTCGGTCCGTTTAAAACTTCATTTCCGCTTCAATTAAATTTCGGCTAAAAATACACTGTTGAAAATTATCAATTTGAATAAACAAAACTATGAAATATCGAATCTTCAATCTACATTCTTTATCATGGGCATGATAATCGACACATGATAATAGGACGGGTACCCATAGTTTGTTTACTCGCGCTTGCTGACTGAATTGCCGCTGTTTATTTGTTTGCCTGGCGTCTATGCACTGGAAGAAAACTATTTCTTGCTGCTCAATCGAGAGTATTGGAACGAAAAAATGGTTCAATCCAGGGGCGGATTTAGGGGGGGGGGCGGGGGGGGCGGACGCCCCCCCCCCCCCCCCCCCTCAGGGGTTCGACCCCCTGCCGACCCAAAGGGTCCCCCCTTTGATACTTTTTCAGAAATCCATTTTTGCCGGACCGACCCTAAAATTTTTCTAAAGGCGCCTTCGGCGCCAATATATACTAACTTTGAGGGGGAGCGCGCGCCAAAAAAAACGCAATTTTTTTGTCAAAATTTTCAAAAAGTGCCCAAAAACGGTTTTTTGACTGTTTTTTCAAAAATTTGCCTGCGGCGCAGAAAATTTTGCCAAAATAGACGCAAAACAGTGCTTTGGGAGAGCTCAAAAAATCAATTTGGTCGACCTAAAAAAAAAAAAAAGGTCCCCCCCCCTCGAGAAAATCCTAGATCCGCCCCTGGTTCAATCAATAGTTGCGAATGAATTTGAGCCATCAGCATCAATTTCAGTTGAATTTTTCTGTTAAAACTTTTTCAACTAGATTATTGGCACAATTCTTGCAACAAATGAAATTTTATTTTTTTTCTTTCTTCAGAAATAAGATTATTATTTTTTAAAAGCAGAAATGAAAATCATACTTTTTGGCGTCCCTGATTCCACCTCATCTGACGCTTAATTGAAGCATCTGGAATCGAACGCACTCCACAACAAAGTTCTTTCCCACCTTCTTTGGTCGGAACATAACAACTCACCTATGTTTAAAAGAAAACCGAGGACCAGCGCAGCTGTGGTGAATTGGGGTAAGGCACGCGTCTCTTTACACGAGAGGGCGTGCGTTTGAATCCTACTTCGGTCACGGTTAAAAGGGTGTCAGTTTTATCGGCCTCCTCAAGAAGGGTCCGGCTACGGAAAAATGAATGACAACCCCCTCCCCCAAGGTTGAACTTGAATTGAACAGGACCGGTGGCGACAAAAAATAAAAACTTTTCTATTTTCAGATGGTAAAAAAATTGACTAAGAAGTGGGATGTCTGGAAGGAGCAAGGATGCCAGGGCTTCGAGGAGAGCTCGGACGAGGAAGACGAGGACGCTAAACGAGAACCCGATGAGAAGTTCAAAGCACGAGTCGCCTCACTCACCCAAACTGCCATCGAGTGGCGCCTCAAACGACAGAGCTCACGTCAATTCAGTCGGAACGGAAGCGCCATAAATCTACAACAGCAACACCATCAGCATCAGCATCAACAGCAGATTAAAATGAATTGCAGTAACAACTTACTGCAACCCCCAATGACCATGAGTCCAAGTGGAATGTTTATTGTAGACAAGGCTAAGACTACCCAAGTATGATCAAACATCAAACTAAATGTTGTTGTTTATATTTTGTGACTTATAGATTTCATAGATCTATAGAATGATTTGCGTGATATTAATATGCATGATACTATTAAATTTACAAGTCAAGACAGATATGCGGACATCAAAACTTTTTCAGTTAATTTCGAACTGCTGTCTCTTTGGAATCTAGAGGGGAACCTCAAAAACTGATACAGTATGACAGTCAACCTGTAAATTAAAACAAAACTTCGGCTGTTGTCGGTAATTTTCTAAGTTAACACGAACAAATGAACAAAACTATCTGGTTGCTTTGCAAGACGATCAGACAATGTTTACACCAAAATCACATCTGCGTAACAAAAAAAAATAAAAGTTTTCATCGAGCTTAAATTATGACTGGAAAGGGCCTGCTATGATATCACTCGACCTTATCAGATGACTATCAGTAAAACATAGAATTCTGCAAAAAAAACACAAGTAAATTTACTAAAATTTTTTTGCAGCTTCTCTGGTCAGAGCAAAAATTAAAGTTCAGAAGTCAGGCGACGTTAAGAAGCTTCGCATGGGGTCGAGTCATAGATCATTTTTCAGATCTTTTTTATAATTAACAAGATTAAGAAAAACAATTCCAGTGTCAAAAAGCTCGGAAATAGGTTTCTCGAGTTTCGGATTTAACAACTGCCTTAAAAACACAAAATTCAAAAAAAAAATAGAAAATTAGACTTGATTTGCTTCAGACCACAAAGTATTTTGATTTTTCTGCGTAAAATTAGGTACCAAATCAACATGTCATTCGAGGTTGAGTGATAGATATATCATTTTGATAGATAAACTCTTTCAGTCATGATTGAGTCCATATTAGAAGGTTCGAACGATTTATCTGAGTGTGGGAAAACGGTCGAAACGTCTTTGAAACTCTAAGCTTCTTAGCTTCAATGGTTCAATAACTAGCATTCAAGCAATGGTTCTGTTCAAAAAAAAGATTGTAGTTTTTGCAACTATTTTAGTGACGGAAATTTTATTCTCAGGTCATTACGAGGCCAAACTGTGCTTTTTCGGAAATTTAAGCGGATTCTGCAACAAGTACGCTCTTTTTGTTCTTCTTTTGGTCTTTCGTTTTCTTTGATCGTTCCGACACAAATTTAACATGTTTAAAGACTTGTTTCTGGAATCTAGGAACATACAGACAAAAAAATGTGCGCCTATCCAGTGCACAGTTTGGCCTCGTAAGGGTTGAATTTTTGCTCGGTCAAATTTTGACTTTTTAATTTTTTATCTAGTTTTAACGACAATTTTTTATAACATCCGAAACATATTGTTGTCTTGAGCTCAATCTTCAAACAAGTTTCTACTTGTTATTTTTTTAAACTGCTAGTTAAAATTAATTATCGCCGGAAAAAACGTTCATATAACACGCGTAAGCCGCAAGGTAAGCCATTCCAAACTGAATTGAGGACAGCAATTTGGTCTTGTTTCAAATTTCGTAACGAAGTAACGGATTATTTGTGCTCGGGTGATTTTTTCTTCATCAAATTTCGATTTTGTAACTAACCATTTTCGACGGAATTTTTTTTATATCATTCAAAAGGTATTGTTGTCCTGAGCTTAAATTAAAAAAATATATATACTTCACCATTTTGTTTCTATTACTTGTTTAGTATCAATTAGCCCGTAAAAATTAGAAATTTTTTTTTTCTGCTATTAGACCTATTCTGCTCTTAGACCATTCTGCTTACTCAGCCTCCATTTCGCGCTATGAAAGTGTAAGCGGAGATTTAAACCGTCTTGGAAAATCGTTCTTAATTGGTAGAAGGAAGCTTATTTGCCATAATTGATTTATTACTAGGAGCAAATCTGTCACTTTGTACTTTATATGGCGTGTGGAGGGATGGTTTTTACAAAAAGTCTCAAAATTAAAAACTATTCGTTTTATTTTTTTACATTTAATTTTTGCAGAGAATTGCATCAGTCCTAAAACTGACAGCATTAAAAGTATTACGTATAATAAATTTCTAATCATTCCAAATTGAGTAGCCGCAATATAAATCTTTCCAACTTGAGTTGAGGACATTGAATTGGTCTTATTTATCTTTCAACACTATTATAACTCAACCGCAATTCCGGTCTGCAAAGAAAATTCTGAATTTTTTTTTTTAAAACGTTTGAATCAGTTTGGCTTTCAATTTGGATCTCAAGAAAAACTTGATCAAAACTCCAGTTTCGTGATTAGTTGAAAATTGGTTCTATTAGCATTAGTACAAGTAAATTAATAAAAGTATGGAAATGGGAACTCGATGCACCATCTTGAGTATTAGAAGGATTTGATAGGATGTTTTTTTCTGATCGAAATTTTAGCAATCGTGTTTTAAATATATCATGCAAATGACCATTTTGGTTCCATCGTCTAATAATTAAAAAACTGACATAAACCAAAAGATAAACCCCCCAAAACAACTAAGATCTAACAATTGAACGTCTAAGCATTTAAAAAACAAACATCAAGCCAGACTTTGAAACTCATATCAAGCAGGATGCCACACAAATTTTTACCACACAGATCATTTTTGTTTTGATTTTTTCGAAAAAAAATAACTAGCTCTGTGCTAGTGCGCAACTACTTCCTAACGGAATCAACCTCAATTTTCGGTGGTTATTCCTACGCTCAAAAAACTGTGCATTTTGACAAAGCAAAGAGCTGTGAAAATTTACTGCTTGAAAAACTTACTTTTCAATTGTTTTTTACACGGCTAACTTAAAAAGAGAGAAAAGTAGACAACATAATTCTTTGATAGCTGTGATTTGATTATTTAATAAGAAATATTTTGCCTTCTGTATTTGAAACAAAGGATGAAGTGGGATCTAGATGCACGTATCTTGATTATTAGAAACATTTGATTGGTCGTTTTTTCAGATCGAAATTCCAGCAATCGTAACTTTAAATACTTTACGCCCATCGCAATCTAAGAAGTGAAAAACTAAAAACCTAAAAATTGAAGCCCTCAAAATATAAGAACTAAAAAAATTAAACCTAAACAATAAAAAAGCAAACAAAGCCAGACTTTGTCATCTGCATCAAGTTTCCATTTCAATTTTTCGTTATCAAATCTGAATAGAAAACAAAAATGTTCTATTGACCTACTAAATCATCCGTTTGGAACCAAGTTTTGCAAAACTATTTACGTTCAATTTAAACCATTTGTAGACAACTCAGAAGAGGCAGCTTAAAAAAAGTTTAAAAAAAAGAAAATATATGGCAGAAAAAAATTTCCGGCCTTTCCTAATTACGCGGGTATTTTTTTTTACTTTTCAAGCAATATTCTGCACCCATTGAGTTATTTTTTAGATTTTGATAAATGGTTTTAAACTATTTGAGGATTTAAATTTTCAAGACAGTCTGTTTTTTAATTCATTTTTCAAATGATTATTTTCTCATTGGCATTCGTAGCAATCTTTTAAAAAAGTTTCAATATTTTCCGTCATTCTTTTTTACGTCAGCCATTCGAAATTGTTCGAGCTCAGCTGAAAGGCCTAATTGGTCCTATTTGCCAAAGTTTTTTGCTTTGCTGGAATTCTTTTTCAAAAACTGTTTTTCTTGGGCAGTTTTATGCAAAATTTGACCCATAATTCTCTCCATAAAAATTATTATTCAATGGCGCCATTATATGACGGCTTGAGATAATTTAAATGTTGGGCAAGCCAAATTGACAGACGTATGAAAAAGTTTTATACAAAACAAGCATTTTCCAAAGTTTATAGGTAAAGGTTTTCCTATTGTTTTCAGTTATGCAGATGATACCATTCTACACACCGCATTATTGTGCACAATGTGTGAAAAAATATTACCGTTTTTTCGAAGACTGTTATTTTATGCCATGGCTACTTTGGCAATATTGTGCTGAAATGTTACTAGTAATTAAAAACGCTCTTGATTTCTTTTCAGAATTAAAAGGAAGTTATCGAATTAAGAATTAAAGGCGCGTATCTTGATCATTACGAAGATTTTGATTATTTGAAGTTTTATGAAGTTTAATTGCACCATAAAAATGACTGACCACTTTGACTTGAAAAGATGAATTATAAAAAATGTGAACGAAAACTTTTTCTTAATAATTCTAAGGTAGCTAATTAACTTTTGTGGCTTCGTGCCTTCGCTCAGAAATCAAATTTCACATCTTAAATCTTTCTTCTTAACAAAACTTTCTGATTCTCGCGAGAGAAAGTAAAAACGTTTTTACTGTTGCAATTTAGTATTGACTTCTGTTTGGCATGTGATCGAAAGGCTAAAAATGGGCTTCGTGACTGATTTTCAAATGAACGATGACACGCAGTTGGTTTATCAATGAAAATTACATGCAACGATTACAGTAATAAAAGATGGTTCGAGTAAGATGTTGCACAGTCAAAAAAGATTCCGCGTTTAGGAAAGAATTGCTGCTAACTTGAAGTTTAAATTTTATCTCAATGTCAATGCTATAAAAAAACTGAAAAATATAACTACTGGCTATAAGAAAAAAGATGGATGGGGAAGAATATTGCAGTACAAAAACGCGTTTAAAAAAGCAGATAATTCCAAATTGAAAACTTACCTTGATATTTTTGTTTCAGAAAGTTTAAGTATCTTTAATAAAAGAGAAGTTTTAACTGATTATGAATCAAAATGGTTAAACAATGCATTTACTCAGTACTAAGCATCAAATGCAAAAACTCAAAATGGTTGTAGAAATCATGTGAAATTGTTATCGAACATCTTTTTGACTATTTTGAGCGAACTAGGCGGAATTTTGTAAATAAATAGCCTTAAGCGTTTCTCGTATTCATATGCATGAAGTAAGAAAAATCAAAATTGTGCAGTTTAACCTCGAGGAAGAGTTTGATCACACGCACACACATTCACACAAACAATTTTTTTTTCATTTGTCTGTATAGAGGAATGTAATTTTTGAAAAATTTAATTTGAATTAACTTCTTGCTTTTAGCGGCTAAAAAAATTATTCAGCTTTTCACGAACTAAAGATACTCTTAGAATTTAAAACTAAAAACCAGCTGATAAACAAAAGCATTATACTAACGCTCTTGAAAGCGGTTTCTTAAAATTACAGCAATGTGATCGAAAATTGAAC